TTGGGGGGACCAATAATGTTGACCAAAGGTGGTTCAACATTATTGGGGGGGGCCAATAATTCCCAACCAAACCTTGGGGCCAAAATAATTGGGCCAAGTGTTGAGTTCCAACCCTCAACTAGGGTTAGCCCTAGTTCTACACCCAAACTACATTTGGATATTCTAACACAACCCCTTAACCTGCAAAAATCCATAAGCTGTGGGAGAGGGAAGGTAACAACCACTGAATCAGCCACCGCAGGGAGCAAGTCCCTGAAGGCGTAGAAGCGCAGAGTGGTTAGAACGGGGGAGAGCCTTGGTGAAAAGATCTGTCAGGTTGTCGGAGGAGGCGATTTTGCGAACAGTGATGTGACCGTCCTGGACAAGGTCACGAACGAAGTAGTAGCGACGCTCGATGTGTTTGGAGCGACCATGAAAGACAGCTACTTTGGTGATGTGGATGGTACTGTCGTTGTCACACCACAACGTGGGGCAGGGCTGTGGGGAACCAAGGTCGGTGAGCAGATAGCTGAGCCAAGTGCGCGAAGGGTGGAGGAGAGTTTGGCGTGCCATTCCCGAGGAGCTTGTTTGAGCCCGTAGACAGGGCGTAGCAGCTTCCAAACAGTGGTAGGGTCGTGAGGGGCGTGGAAGCCTTTGGGTCATTCCAGAAAGATGAGTTCGTGAAGGTCGCCTTGTAGAAAGGCGGTGGTGACATCCATGGATTGAAGTATCATCCCACGCCTCCCAACAAAGTCAAAAAACACGCGAATGACCGGTGGAGTGGCGGTGGGTGAGTAGGTCTCGAAGAAGTCTGAGCCATAAGTCTGTGTGAAGCCTTTTGCCACATATCGAGCCTTGTACACCGAGGCGTCGCCAGGGAGTAGTTTGACTCGAAAAAGCCACCTGCCTTTGACCACGTTGTGCTTAGAGGGACGAGGAACGTCAATAAACGAGCGGTTGCTGATGAAGGCGTTGCTCTCCTTGACCATGGCCTCGATCCAAAGAGGTGCATCAAGGCAGGCAAGTGCTTGCTCATAGGTGGTGGGTTTGTAGATAGTGGGGGTGGTGGAGAAGAGAAGAACAGTGGTGCCAGCCATTGTGCGGACTACGGGGGCGACGGTGGGTGAGAGGAGGTGGAGGAACATTAGCTCATCATGAGAGTCCTCAGAGAGGTCCGGAGTGAGAGGAGGAGGGAGAGAAGGCGGTGGAGTTGCAAGACAGCTGCGCTGGAGGGTCGGGCTGATGCGGGGACACAGCTGCACTGGTGCTCTGCTGCGCTGAGGGTCGGGGCAGGGAGACAGCTGCAATGCAGCTCGGCTTCGCTGAGTTGCTGTGAGGGGCAGAGATACGGGAGCGCGACTGCTGAGAGAACCTGAGGGGCTAGTGCGGGGGGGAGGGGAGGTGCTATAGTGGCGGGGAAGGGGGATGGATGTGAGAGATTGGATGGAGGGGGGGGTGGACCTTGGGGTACCGAGAATGGGGACCGTGGACCTGGTGTGAGGGTAGTGGCGGAGTATGAGAGGGGGAGTGGGAAGTATGGGCTGGGAGGAAGGAGGTGGAGTGAGTGGGGGAGGGCGTAGGGAGAGGGGAGGTGGGGAATGTTGTGTATGGGGGGAGGGAGGGGGAGGGGAGGGATGGGGAGGGGCAGCGGGTGAGGGAGGGGAAGGGGGTGGGGAGGGATGGGGAGGGGGAGGGGCAGCGGGTGGGGAGGGAGGGTGGACGGGGTCAAAGATGTCTCCTGATGAGGCGGGGAGAGAGTGGGGAGGGGGTGGGGGTGCAGGTGGGACAATGGTGGGAGGGGGGAGAAGGGAAGGGGAGGGGAGAGGAGGTGGGGGGGGAATGGTGTCAGTCCAGAGGAGGGGACGGGTGGTTAGAGGGAGGGGGTTAGGGATTTTGGGGGAGGTGTAGTACGGGTGGGCTTCATCGAATTCCACATCCCGACTACGAATGAGGCTACCTGAGGGGGGATGGAGGAAGAGATAGTCCGGGGAGGAGGTGTTGTGACCAAGGAAAATGCAGGGGAGAGTGCGGGAGGCTAGCTTCCCAGCTTTGCGTGAGTGGTCGACAGGGTGTATGAGAACATACGCCTTGGAACCCCACACGCGCAGGGGGGTGATGTCGGGCTTTTTGGATGTCCAGAGTGCGGTGGGAGTGGTGGTGGGCCGGGAGGGATGAGGGTACAAGTTAGTGAGGATGGCAGCGTGGAGGATGGTATAGCCCCAGAGAGAGGGCAGGCAGGAGGCATGGACCATGAGGCACCGAGCAGTTTTGGTGACCTCACGGACCCTACTCTCCGCCACGCCATTCTGCTGAGGGGAATGAGGTAGGGTGTAGGTGTGAATAATACCACGAGTGGTGCAGTAGGATGAGAGCATGTTGTTAAGGAACTCACCACCGCCATCAGAGTGGAAGCGGGAGACAGGGCGTTTGAAATGGGTGCGTGCTTGTTCAGCCCAAGCAATAATAGCAGCCGGGGCTTCCGCCTTCGTGCGAAGGAGGGAGACGGAGGAGTAGCGGCTGTGGTCATCCACCAGGATGAGCAGGTATTTATGACCTTGCCTGGTGGGGGAAGGGTTGGGGCCCCAGAGGTCCATGTGGACGAGCTCAAGAGGCTGGGGAGAAAGGGAGGGATGACTCTTGTGGGGGGCCTGTTTCAGTTTGCTTTCAACGCATACTGAGCAGGGAGGGGAGGGTGATGGGGGGAGAGGGGGAAGGGTGAGGGGGAGTCCGTCGAGGAGTTGGGTGGAGACAGTTTGACGGAGGGTGGCAAAGTTGGGATGACCCAACCTATGGTGAAGGAGAACTGCGGGGTGGGTGAGGTCACGACAGTGACAGGAGGAGGTGGGGGAGGGGAGGGGGGGAGGAGGGGAGGGGAGGGGAGGGGAGGGAAGGGGAGGGAGGGGAGGGGAGGGGGGGGGGAGGGGATGGGGGAGGGGATGGGAGGAGGGGAGGGAAGGGGGAGCGGAGGTGAGGGGAGGGGAAGGGGTGAGGTGGGGGCGATGAGGTGGTGAATGGAGGTGCGAGGGGTGCGGTACGTGTACAGGTTTGTGCGAGGGCAGAGGGGAATGCGACAGATGAAGCGACCAGTGGTGGTGTGAAAGAGGTCGCAGTGGCGTGCATGACCAGGGAAGAGGGCGGTGATATTGAACTTGGTGAGGTCACACAGTGCTACCAAATTGTTGCGCAGGGAGGGGATGTATAGACCTGTGACTGTACCTGAGGGGAAGATGGGACAGGGGAGGGTGGAGGTGTGTCGACTTGTGATGGTGAAGCTGGAGTCAGCTCCGTGGATAGTGGAGGGAGTGGGGAGGGGTACCAGTGTGCCTGCATCGCGCAGAACAGTGTGTGTCGCTCCACTGTCAAGGATAAACTCAAGGCATGAAGAGGAGGAGGAAAAGGCGGAGTACTGGAAGAGAGACTCATTAATAGCATGGGCATACATAGAATCAGCAGGAGAAGTGCTAACATGTCCTATGAATCCAGCAAAGGGGAACGGAGTAGAGCCAGGAGGGTTGGAGGAGGAGGAGGGCTGTTCAGCAAGATTAGCAGCAGGTCCAATAGGTCCATGACCATATCCACGAGGTGGGTAAGGAGGGTAAGGCCAGCCAGTACAGGGTGGAAGGTAGTGAGGGGGGGGGGGTGGAGGCGGAGGTGTGGATGGAGGAGGAGTGGGAGTGGTGGGAGTGGGGGTGGAGGGGAGAAGATGCTGGACTTGTTGAAGGATGTGAGATGGGAGATGCTGAGTGAGGACATTGTGAAGGTTGGGAGTAGAGGGTTGATAGGCGGGGAGGGTACGGATGTCATGGATGGAGGGGCGTGGGAAAACAGTGTTCCAGCGAGGTGGAGTGCCAACGTTGCCACGTGCAAACCACTCGTCAGTGAGGGTTTTGAAGCACGTGTCAGTGGTGTGAGTGGTCTGAGAGCATGGCTGACTTTTGTTGGAGCCATAGCGGATGATGTACTGACACGGGGGGAGGGTGCCTGAAGGTGAGGGGTATCCGCCGCGTACGCCACGGCCACCACCGCGACCACCACCACGTCCTCCGCCTCGGCCGCCACCACGTCCACCACCACCACTACCGGCGCCGCCTGAGCCGCCACCTGCTCCGCTGTTGTGGTTGCCTGTGGTAGCTTTGCGGGTCTGGACAGCATTGACGGTGGCGGAGTCACGTTGAATGTCCGCTTCGCTGTCAAGAAGCCACTCGATGGTGTCAGCCACAGGAGGAGGATGACGGTAGCGAGAAGTGAAGGTGATGCGGTAGGTGTCATATGTGGGAGGGAGGCAGTCGAGGATGCGTGCAGTAAGAAGGGACTCAGAGATGACAATGCCCCGGTCATTGAGGCGTTGCGCAGTGTCAATGAGGCGAAGGGTGTAGGCAGCAGCAGTGGGGGAGGAGTCAAGAGTGATGTCTTGGAATTTACGAAAGAGGGCGAGGAGGGAGCGAAGGTCCTGACGGTCGTACTGAGTAGAGAGGGTTTTCCAGAGTCCAGAGGAGGAGGCGGGACGAAGGTCGCGTTTGAGGTGAGAGGGGATGTAGGAGAAGATGATAGCGAGTGCACGACGATCAGCAATGCGCCATGCTGCAACATCCTTGTGGATCTTGCGAAGCTCCTCAGCATAGTCTTTTTCGTCTTGAGCGTAGGAGAGGATGCGTGTAGTAGCATCAGCGTGTGATGCTTCCGCAACATGGTGCGCCTCACGTTGGAGAGTGTAAGTGTCGCGAAGCTTGTTGTAGGCGTCCAGGTTGGCCCCCCAGCGATCCGGGTTGTCATCATGAACTGGGGCACGCGGGGGGTCGGGAAGAGGCTCGGGTGGAGGAGGGGCGTCAGGGGGAGGAGGTTCAAGGGGAGGGGGGAGAACAGGTGGGAGGCCATTAGGGTGTTCGAGGACTACATGAAGAAGGCAGTAGTCTTGAATAATGACGGAGCCAAGGTGCGTGTGAAGCGTATCTTCAAACGACACCCAGTTCACGGCCGTAGTGTCATGGAGAAGTTCGAGCTTGTCAATGGCTCCGAGCTCAATGGGAGTGGAGTCGTCCGCCATGAGGAGGAGGAGGGGAGGGGGGGGGAGAGGGGGTGACGACACCGGCTTGAGGGCGGGTGCGGTCAAAGAGGACGACACCACCTGGAAGGGTGGTGCGGTCACGTTGCGTGTGGCGGCGCCGGGTTACACGCAGCTGTGTTTGTGTCGCCCGTGGTTGCGCCTCGTGGCCCGCGACTGTGCGTCGGTCCGTGGATGCGCCTCATCGCCCGCGGGTGCGTGTCCGTCCGCGGATGCGCCTTGTCGCCCGCGGGTGCGCGTCCGTCCGCGGATGCGCCTCGTCCCCCGCGGGTGCGCGTCCATCCGCGGATGCGCCTCGTCGCCCGCGGGTGCGCGTCCGTCCGCGGATGCGCCTCTTCGCTCGCGGGTGCGCGTTGTTCGCGGATGCGCCTCGTCGCCCGCGGGTGCGCGTCCGTCCGCGGATGCGCCTCGTCGCCCGCGGGTGCGCGTCCGTCTGCGGATGCGCCTCGTCGCCCGGGGGTGCGCGTCCGTCCGCGGATGCGCCTCGTCGCCCGCGGGTGTCCGTCCGTCGGCGGAAATCGCTGCGGTGGTCGCGTCCGCCCTCGTCGGCGGGATGCGCCGCGGTGAGGGAGGGGAGGGGAGGGGGGAGGAAGCGGGCTGCCGGACGGAACTTGTGCGGGGGAGGCACGGGAGAGTGCGTGAGTACGAGGGGGGAGGGGGGCAGTGAAGGCGTAATAGCGCAACTTAGGCGTGAAGAGCGGCAAAGAGCCGTGTGAGAGAGGGGGGAGGGGCGTGATACGGCACGCGTTAGGTGTGGTCCTTAGGATCGAGAGACGGTGTTAACCGTTGTAGCTCTGATTACCATGTGAGAAAACGTGAGGAAGAACCATTGATGATATTAGGAATAGAGGGGGTATACATAGTTGTGCTAGGAGGGATGGTTTGGTGGGGAACCTAGCCAACATTATTGGCCCCCACCAATAAGTTGGGTTGAGGAATTATTGGGGGGACCAATAATGTTGACCAAAGGTGGTTCAACATTATTGGGGGGGGCCAATAATTCCCAACCAAACCTTGGGGGCCAAATAATTGGGCCAAGTGTTGAGTTCCAACCCCCAACTAGGGTTAGCCCTAGTTTTACACCCAAACTACATTTGGGTGTCTACCTCTAGCCGAAGCTTATAGGATAGATGCAGGTTACAAGTGAGGATGGTATTCTAACACAAGCGTCTCTCTATCCTTCCCTCCTCACAGCCAAACGTCTCTCTATCCTTCCCTCCTCACAGCCAAACGTCTCTCTATCCTTCTCTCCTCACAGCCAAACGTCTCTCTATCCTTCCCTCCCCACCCCTCCCAGGCATACGACGATCGCCTGCGCCAAGCCTTCCAGGACCCCTCCCTGCCATACCACCAGCATCACCATCACCAGCAGCAGCACCACAGCTCCCTCTTCCCCCCAGAGGACGCGGCAGTGCTGGAGGCATACCTCATGTGTCTGCACCAGGTGCTGCGCCACTCGCCCCCGCCCCTGCGCACGCGCCTCTTCTCCGACGCCTTCTTTGACGCGCTCTTCCGCCTGCTCCCCCACGCCGCCGTCCCCCCCGCCCTCAAGGGCGCCCTCCGCTCCGCCATTGCTGCCTTCCTCGGCGCCCCCGCCACCGTTGCTGCGCTCACCACCTCCACAGCCCCTGCTGCTAGGGCCACCACAGCAGCGGCTGGTTTCAGTGGTGCCATGGCAGCAGGAGCGGCTGCTGGTGCTGCTGGTGGAGGGGCGACAGCAGGGGATTTGATGGCAGTGGCGGCAGCAGCGGCGGGGCTGACGGGGGCGGCGGCGGCAGCGCTGGCAGCAAGGACATGGGCGCTGGAGGAATTCTACGATCTGCCGCCCTCGGCTTCTGCGACCCTGGAGGAGCAACAGGCACGTAGTAGTATGTGTGTATGGGCGTGCATGGGCGTGTATGGGCGTGCATGGGCGTGTATGGGCGTGTATGGGCGTGCATGGGCGTGCATGGGCGTGTATGGGCGTGCATGGGCGTGTATGGGCGTGTATGGGCGTGCATGGGCGTGCATGGGCGTGTATGGGCGTGTATGGGCGTGCTCATGTGTGTGTACAGTCGTGCTCCTCTGTATGCCTGTCTTTCTGTGTGCGTATGGACATTGGATGAATTTTGCGACCTCTCCCACCCTCCTTCGCGGATGCTGCCTCGCCTGCTGCTGACGCCCAGCCATGGGGGGCGATGGAGCAGGTGAGAGCGGGCTGGGGAGGGAGGGGTTGTTTTCTGCACTGCACGTTGCTCTTGACTCAGGCTCGACAAACCACAACACGGTAACCCAATCCGCTCCCACATGTTCCCCGCTCTGCACGCACTGTTAGAATATAATTTCAGTTTCTTTCACGCATGTGTCCCCTTTCTTCTCCCCACCGGCCAGTCCACCTCCAAGTATCCCCACTTGCCCCTCGTGCATTGACTGTCCACTATCCATTCCCCTTGCTCTGTCGTCGTGTCACCAATGCGCTCCTGCGCTCCTCTCCCCAGTGCCCTACGGCCTTGGCGTGGCACTGCTGGAGGTGAAGGAGGGGGGAGGGAGCAAGCATGGCTAGCGTAGCACCCCTCTTTTCATGTCATGTCATGTTGTGTGAGTGTGTGATGTGATGTGGTGTGACAGTGACACACACCTTGTGCCATGCCACGCTACTCCCATTTCTCTCCCCATGCAGCGCCCGCTACAGCGCCATGCGACATGGGCATGGAGCTTAACAAGGGGAGGCGAGGGAGGAGTAGTACCCCTCCCTGCACTTGCTGCCATGCCATGCCATGCCATGCCATGCCGCACCCCACCACTACCCCCCGTTCTCCAGCGCCCGCTACAGCGCCATGCGACGTGGGCATGGAGCTCAACGAGGGGGTTTCGAGGGTGGAGGAGTACCCCTCCCTGTGCTGCGCTTATCTGTGTGATGCTAATTCTATGCCTTGCCCCACCGCCGCACCACCCCCCTCTCCCCGTGCAGCGCCGCGCGACAGCGCCATACGACATGGGCATGGAGCTGAGCGAGGTGGAGGCGAGGGTGGAGGAGTACCCCTCAACGCTCTCCTACCTGCGCCTGCACAACACACTGCTCGCCCTCGACCCCCTCTCCCGCCCCGCCAGGTCTCTCATTTCCCTCCTCTCTGCCACTTGCCCTACTTTCTCGACCTCCCTTCCCCTTCATTTCAGTTTTGTCATTCATTGTTGGTTTCTTTTTATCCACCTTCCATCATCGATTCCTTACCTGAGTCGCTTCTAAGCATTTCCTTTCCAAGCATTTGTTCTGCTCTGCTCCTCTTACCTCACCACCCTTCCACCCCCACCCATGCCGCCCACACCCACCCATCGCGCCCACACCCACCCATGCCGCCCACACCCACCCATGCCGCCCGCCCACAGGTTCCTGGACTATTTCCGGTTCGTGACGAGCAGTGTGTTTGTGCCGTACACGCGCCGAGTGTACGCGCGGGCAGACGAGATGTGGCAGCTGCTGCTCGCCTCGCTCTCCCTCTTCCACCTCTCCCTCCTCCTCCTGCACCGCTCCCCCCTCCCCTCCGCTCCGCCTCTCGCCGCCCTCTCTGCTGCCTCCTCCTCGTCGGCCAATGGGCTGCTGCCAGCTGGCGCCACACCGGGGCTGCTGCTGATGAAGGTGGGTGGGGGGAGGCAGGCAGGCCGTGCATGCAGCTCACATGCAACAAGTGCATGCAGCTCACATGCAAGTGTGCGCCAGTTTGCGTTGCTCTCACCTTCACCTGCACTGTGAGAGTGCCTGCGCCAGTTAACCACGGACCCACACCTTCATCCCCACCACATGCAATTCGACCCAGCCCCTCTCACTCAAGCTCCTCATGCCCCTCTCAAGCTCCTTATGCGCCCCTTTCCCGCCTACGTTTCCCCCTCCCGCCCCTCTCTTATCCCCACAACCCTCTCAACTTTCAGCCCACTGTCCCCCCTTTCCCTTTCCCCTCTCTGCACCCCTACAGGATGTTGTACTTTCATATTTTATACAACATACATAGGCTAGAACTAGATGTGTAGCACTCTTATAAATTGGGGGGTTGTTTGGTGTACCCTCCTACCTCATTTTGTGGTCGGTGGGGATTGGTCCTTAGCTCAACCAATCCCAACCAACACACATTTGTGGTTGCTAGGGCCACAAGCAATCTCACCCATTGGCCAACTTCTATGTGGAGAAAGACGCGTCCAGCGTCCTGGACGCATGCGTCTGGACGCATGCGTCCAGACGCTGGACGCTAGTTTAGGGCCCCCGAGACGCAGCAAAAGACGCAGGTCCGGGCAGCCAAAAAAAACCCCCCGGGCAGCCAAAAAAAAGTTATAGGGCAGAGGGAAGAGGGGGTAAGAGGGGGGGGGGGGGGGGGGGGGGGGGGGGAACACACTTTCATAGCAAAATTTCTCCTCAACAACAAAAAATCAGCCACAACAATAGAACATGAAGGTGAGCCCCAAATTTCCATAATCACAATTAGTCCAAGGGTTGTTTAGCATGCATGCATACTACCACTAACTAACATGCATCACTCATCCTCCTCGCTCTCCATCCCCTTCTCCTCCTCCTTCTCCAAATCCTCCTGCTCCTTGTACTCGTCGAAGGTGAGGTCATCCTCATCCACCTCCACCTCTCCATCCTCCTCAAGCTTGTACCCCTCGGGAAGGGGTCGGGGGGGAATGTTCCCCTCCACTATTCCCGCCTTCCTGACTTCCCCACTCGGCCCCGCACCCGCCGCACCCTTGTGGTGGTTGTGCACAACGTTCCAGTTGTGCGCAACGAACACAAGGTCGCGAACACAAGGAGCTAGCCATAACGGTGGTGCGCGGAAAGGAGCTAAAACCACTAGGGTTTTTGAAAGAGAATTGGGTTGTGAGAAAAGGGAGCACAAATGAGAGGTTTCATGAACTAAATGGGCTTTGTGGGGGTGGTGGACCACAAAGGTTGGGTTTCCTAGTTGTGGAGTGGTGGAGAGGGGTTGGATTTCCAAATCAATTTTGCAAAAAGGGGAGGGGGTTAGGGGTGAATTAGATGGCTGGTTTTGGGGGTCGAATTTGCTTGGGGGGTGTCGAATTTCGGCGAAATTAACATTCGCGACGAAATCGCGAATGTCAATTTCGCGATCGCGAAAAAAAAAAAAATCTCGGTCTGCCCGAAAAAATTTCCAGGGTGCGTCCTGCGTCTTTGCGTCCGGACGCTGCGTCCGGACGCAGGACGCAGGGCTGCCCCAGCGTCTTTCTCCACATAGGCCAACTTATTGACCAATAGGATAAGCTTCCCTCTCATCTCTCTCTTGCTCATTGTTTGTACTAAAGGGCCTCCTGGCTCATGATTCAATGCATCAATTCTCTCTTCCAACACAGGACTGCTATGAGCAGGCCCCACCTTGCGCAAGCAGCATCATCGCCATCATCTCAGCCGGCCCCGACGCCCTCCTAGGGGAGCGAGCGCTGCGCTGCACCCTCCCCCAGGCGCTCCCATTCGCCCTCCAACACACTGTTGCTGCCATGCTGGAGTCACTTGTAAAGCCTCTCAAAGTGACTCCGCCTTCTGCCCCTTTGCGCTCCCACCTTCCCCTCCCCTTTTCCCTCTACCTCTTTCTTCCCCCCACACAGGATTTCCTATGAGCAGGCGCAGCGCTGCGCAACATGAATGCCATCATCACAGGCAGCCCAGACGCGTTCATGGAGGAACGGGCCCTGCTGCGCCCCCAGGCGTTCGCATTCGCCCTCCAACACACTGTCCCTCTTTTCCCATCCTCCACTCTTTCCCCATCCTCCCCTTTTCCCCCAACAGGATTTCCTATCAGCAGGCCCAGCACTGCGCAACATTATCGCCATCATCACAGCGGGCCCCGATGCGCTTCTAGAGGAGCGTGCGCTGCGCCCCCAGGCGCTCTCATTCGCCTTAGAAGACACCGTTGCCGCCTGCCTGCGCCTGCTGCTCCTCGCGCTCTCCCTCGACCAATCCCTGGCCGACACCTGGCAGCCCGCCGTGCGCCCGCTGCACCTCGTGCTCGCGGATGACGTGGTGCTCGTGACAGCTGTCATGTCCTTCGTGCGCTACCAGCCGTCAGATGCCATCCAACGGTCGGCAATCGAGCTCACAAGCGTCTTCAGGTGACCCATGGCCTATGGATGAGGGGGAACCTGCCCCGCGGCTTCGGGTGATTGCTTTCTTGACTCGTAACCGGACTGCACCTCACCTCAGCCTTGTGGTTGTAAGAAGCGCTTTTCTTGACTCATGAGCCTCGTGGGACTCGTGGTTGTGGGCCGGAAGAAGCGCTCTGTGTTTCCACCAGTGCAGGCCAGCTTTCTGGCCGCCCCGTGTTGTGTGTTGAGCCACCAGATGGCGTGAGGCAGCAGATGGCGTGAGGCAGCAGATGGCGTGAGGCAGCAGATGGCGTGAGGCAGCAGGTGGCGTGAGGCAGCAGGTGGCGTGAGGCAGCAGGTGGCGTGAGGCAGCAGGTGGCGTGAGGCAGCAGGTGGCGTGAGAGCGTGTTGTGGCCGCAACTAGTGGTGGATTGTGTGTGCCTGTGTGCTGGCACATGGAGGCCAGCATTGATCAGATCACACCATAACCAGGTGGCTTTTGCAAAGTGGTTTCTACTCAACCGGAATGGAGATAGCTTTCCTCTTCACTTCACCCTCCTGCTGCATCCTCTTGCCCCTACCGCTTACAGTGCGCGTGGCGTGCCACTTGTCGCGATGGCATTGGAGGTGGGCATGGTGCAGCGATTGGTGGAGGACTTTGCAGAGTGCCTTGACGTTAGTGCCAGCACCGTCTCTGTACAGGGCGTTGCTGCTCATGGTGACGCTGGTGGCGCGACTGTGGATGGTGGAGGAGAGGAGGAGGAAGGCGGGGAGGAGGGCGAGGAGACGGACTGTGCCACGCTCATTCTCCAGGTGAGTGAGTCCGCGTGGCAAGCACAGTCAATGAATGCTAGCAGCACAGTCAATGAATGCTAGCAGCACAGTCAATGAATGCTAGCAGCACAGTCAATGAATGCTAGCAGCACAGTCAATGAATGCTAGCAGCACAGTCAATGAATGCTAGCAGCACAGTCAATGAATGCTAGCAGCACAGTCAATGAATGCTAGCAGCACAGTCAATGAATGCTAGCAGCACAGTCAATGAATGCTAGCAGCACAGTCAATGAATGCTAGCAGCACAGTCAATGAATGCTAGCAGCACAGTCAATGAATGCTAGCAGCACAGTCAATGAATGCTAGCAGCACAGTCAATGAATGCTAGCAGCACAGTCAATGAATGCTAGCAGCACAGTCAATGAATGCTAGCAGCACAGTCAATGAATGCTAGCAGCACAGTCAATGAATGCTAGCAGCACAGTCAATGAATGCTAGCAGCACAGTCAATGAATGCTAGCAGCACAGTCAATGAATGCTAGCAGCACAGTCAATGAATGCTAGCAGCACAGTCAATGAATGCTAGCAGCACAGTCAATGAATGCTAGCAGCACAGTCAATGAATGCTAGCAGCACAGTCAATGAATGCTAGCAGCACAGTCAATGAATGCTAGCAGCACAGTCAATGAATGCTAGCAGCACAGTCAATGAATGCTAGCAGCACAGTCAATGAATGCTAGCAGCACAGTCAATGAATGCTAGCAGCACAGTCAATGAATGCTAGCAGCACAGTCAATGAATGCTAGCAGCACAGTCAATGAATGCTAGCAGCACAGTCAATGAATGCTAGCAGCACAGTCAATGAATGCTAGCAGCACAGTCAATGAATGCTAGCAGCACAGTCAATGAATGCTAGCAGCACAGTCAATGAATGCTAGCAGCACAGTCAATGAATGCTAGCAGCACAGTCAATGAATGCTAGCAGCACAGTCAATGAATGCTAGCAGCACAGTCAATGAATGCTAGCAGCACAGTCAATGAATGCTAGCAGCACAGTCAATGAATGCCAGCAGCACAGTCAATGAATGCTAGCAGCACAGTCAATGAATGCTAGCAGCACAGTCAATGAATGCTAGCAGCACAGTCAATGAATGCTAGCAGCACAGTCAATGAATGCTAGCAGCACAGTCAATGAATGCTAGCAGCACAGTCAATGAATGCTAGCAGCACAGTCAATGAATGCTAGCAGCACAGTCAATGAATGCTAGCAGCACAGTCAATGAATGCTAGCAGCACAGTCAATGAATGCTAGCAGCACAGTCAATGAATGCTAGCAGCACAGTCAATGAATGCTAGCAGCACAGTCAATGAATGCTAGCAGCACAGTCAATGAATGCTAGCAGCACAGTCAATGAATGCTAGCAGCACAGTCAATGAATGCTAGCAGCACAGTCAATGAATGCTAGCAGCACAGTCAATGAATGCTAGCAGCACAGTCAATGAATGCTAGCAGCACAGTCAATGAATGCTAGCAGCACAGTCAATGAATGCTAGCAGCACAGTCAATGAATGCTAGCAGCACAGTCAATGAATGCTAGCAGCACAGTCAATGAATGCTAGCAGCACAGTCAATGAATGCTAGCAGCACAGTCAATGAATGCTAGCAGCACAGTCAATGAATGCTAGCAGCACAGTCAATGAATGCTAGCAGCACAGTCAATGAATGCTAGCAGCACAGCACCCTAGCAAGGCGGACAACCCATTCTGTGCTTTCCACCCCGTGGCTGTTTCGTCTGTCCAATGCGCCTACTGTGCTCACCTCCCTCTCGTCTCACCTCCCTCTCGTCTCACCTCCCTCTCGTCTCACCTCTCACCTCCCTCTCGTCTCAACGCCCTTGCTCCACGCAGCTGCTGCTGGCGTCGCTAGGGAGGCAGCGGCCCACATTGGCGCACATGCTGCTGGGGTTTGATGTCGACAGGCCGCTCGCTGCCTCCCTGCTGCAGCCCAACCGCCGCTTCAGGTGGGCCGTGTGGACAGCTGGCCGAGGTGCCAGCAACTGTGGTGTTATTGCTCTGTTTGATAGAATTCAAGAATTGATTGAGTAATGAGCCAAGGAGGCTCTATAGTACAAGCATGCAAGGAAGAGAGAAGTGGAGGAGGAGCTAACCCTATTGGCCACTAAGTTGGCCAATGGGTGAGGTGCCTTTTGGAGTAGGAAACTCCACAATGTAGATAGGATGTGATTGGTTGGTGTTGGGACCAAAAGTTGGCAAGTGCCAACCAAGGACCAAGACCAAAACCAATCTTGACCAAACACAAAGTGTGGTTGGAGTGTACACCCAACCCCCCAAGAGCAAAAGGGACTACACCTATTCTAGCCTATGAATGTTGTATATAATGTACATTTACAACACAACCCCCCAACATGCATAAGGCTAGAAGATGTAATTAGGAGGCCGTCAAAACCGGAGGAGGGGTGAGGCCAAGGAGACGCAGAAGGAAGGAGTGGGATGCTTGGGGAAGGGCTTTGGTGAAGATGTCAGCGAGGTTGGCCGCCGAGTCGATTTTGCCAAGGCGAATGTGGTCGGCCTCAACGAGATCGCGAATGAAGAAGTAGCGAAGCTCAATGTGCTTGGAGCGCCCATGATACACAGCATCCTTGGTGAGGTGGATGGTGCTGGCGTTGTCACACCAGAGGGTGGGACAGCGTTGGGGGGCTCCAAGCTCATCAAGGAGGAAGGTGAACCAGCGTGCTTCCTGCGCGGCCATGGTGGCAGCATAGAGCTCTGCTTCGCAGGAGGAGAGGGCGACGGCAGAGGAGCGTGTGGACCGCCAGCTGATGAGACCGCTGCCCAGAGAGAAACCATAACCCTGAGAGGATCGCCGATCTGGTCGCGAATCAGCCCAGGAGGAGTCGCTATAGCCGCTGAGGAGGGGTGGGGAAGGGCCGCCAAGGGTAAGGACATAGTCCTTGGTGCCACGAATGTAGCGAAGGTCGCGCTTGGCGGCCTGCCAGTGCTCTTCCGTGTGCTTGCCAGTTCCAACGAAGCGAGCTAGGACGCTGATGGGGTAGGCAAGGTCAGGGCGAGTGGAAACCATGGCGTACATGAGAGAACCGATGAGTTCAGGATAAGGATGGGAGGAGGGAGAGGGAGAGGAGGGTGGGGAGAGGTGGTGCCCAACCGAGAGGGGAGTGGGCTGGGGGTTGCTGCGCGCCATTTCAAACCGTTCCAAGACCTGCTGGAGGTAGTGGCCCTGAGAGAGAGAGATGGTGCGAGCGGAGCGGTCGCGAGTGATGGTCATGCCGAGGTAGTGCTGCAGCTCTCCCAGGTCTTTGCACTTGAGACGGCTGCCCAGCTCCGTCTTGACACTCTCGAGCTCGGCAAGATCGGCCGTGAGGAGAATCATATCGTCAACATAGACGAGGATGTAGAAGGGGGAGGGGGAGGTGCGGAGGAAGAGGCTGGCGTCAGAGCGGGAGGTGCGAAACCCAAGCTCGGCAAGGGTGGCAGCAAGCTTGGCATGCCATTCCCTGGGAGCCTGGCGGAGCCCATAGACTGGGCGGCGCAGCTGCCAGACGGAGTCAGCGGGGAAGGGGAGGTGGAAGCCCGCTGGGCGCTCCATGTAGATCAGTTCACGTAGCACGCCTTGCAGGAAGGCGTTGGAGACATCCATCGAGTGGATCTCCATGTTGAGGCGAGCGGCGAGGTCGAGTACGGCGCGAACGGTAGCAGGTTTGGCGGTGGGGGAGAAGGTGTCGAAGAAGTCAAAGCCATACCGCTGCGTGAAGCCCTTGGCGCAATACCGGGCCTTGTAGACGGGCGGCTCTCCCGGCAGCTGCTTGACGCGAAACACCCACTTCCCCTTTACCACGTTCGTAGAGGAGGGAGGGCGAGGCACATCAACGAAGGAGGAGTTGGCAATAAATGCCTCGAGCTCCTTGATGATGGCGGCGAGCCAGAGCGGGGCGTCGGGGCAAGCCATGGCCTCCTCATACGTGGTTGGGATGAAGGTGGAGGGAGCAGAGGAAAAGGCGAAGACTGGGGTTCCAGAGAGGTCAAAGGTGATGGGAAGGAGGGAGGGGTAAGAGAGGTGGAGGTCAAGGAACTCCTCATGGGAGTCCTCAGAGAGGGAGGTGTGGAAGGCGCGGATGACCGCAGGTGCCGCTGCTGGTGCCGCTGCTGGTGCCGCTGCTGGTGCCGCTGCTGGTGCCGCTGCTGGTGCCGCTGCTGGTGCCGCTGCTGGTGCCGCTGCTGGTGCCGCTGCTGGTACCGCTGCTGGTGCTGCTGCTGGTGCTGGTGCGGATGCCGCTGCTGCCGCTGCACTCGCCGCTGCTGGTGCTGCTGCTGCTGCTGCTAGGTGGTTGAGGGGGCTGGATGCAAGACAGCCTGGAAGAAGTGGTGAAGGAGGGGGGAAAGAGGAGGGAGGGTAGAGGTAGAGAGGGTAACAGGGGGCGGTGCACCAAGGATACTGTCACGTGACCTGGTGTGAGGATACCGGGTGAGTATGGTGCGGGGAGTGGGGGAGGGAGGTGAGGGTTGGGAGGGAGGGGGAGGAGGGGTACCAGGGGAGGAGTGAGCGGGGGAGACAGGGGGAGACAGGGGGTCCGGGTCAAAGATGTCACCAGACGAGGGGGGGGCACCGTGGGACTGGGAGGGCGGTGGGGGAGGGGAGACATCGGGCTTGTCCTTTGTCCATAGCTCAGTGGGGGTGGTGGAGGGGAGGAGGGGGTGAGGGTACAGGTTAGTAAGGAGGGCGGCATGAAGGAGGGCGTAGCCCCACACAGAAGGGGGGCATGAGGCGTGGACAAGAAGACACCGAGCCGTTTTGGTGATCTCCCGAACACGGCTCTCAGCGACACCGTTCTGCTGTGGGGAGTGAGGGAGGGTGTAAGTCTGAAGAATGCCGCGGGACTAGCAGTAGGAGGAGATCTGGTTATTAAGGAACTCACCACCACCATCAGAGTGAAGGCGGCGAACAGGGCGCCCAAAGTGGGTGTTTGCCTGTTCGAGCCAGGCAATGATCGCAGTCGGGGCGTCCGCCTTTGTCCGAAGGAGAGAGACGGACGAGTACCGACTGTGATCATCGACGAGCACGAGAAGGTAGCGATGGCCTTGGCGAGTGGGGGAGGGGTTAGGGCTCCAGAGGTCCATGTGAACAAGATCAAGTGGCTGGGCAGCAGCGGAGGGGGAGCTCCGGTGCGGCTGCTGCTTGAGCTTGCTCTGAACACAGACGACGCAAGGGGGGGCAGGGGACTTTGGGAGGGGAGGGAGGGAGGAGGGGAGACCGTGGAGGAGACCGGAGGATACAGAGGAGCGCAGAGTGGCGAAGTTGGGGTGACCTAGCCTGTGATGGAGGAGGATGGCAGGGTGGGAGAGGGAGCGACATGAGCAGTCAGAGTCAGGGGGGCGGGGGGGGGACGGGTGGGTTAGTGGGAGGGAGGGGAGGAGGGGGGGGGGGAGGAGGGGGGGGGGAGGCAACTTGGAAGGTGAGGGGGCGAGGAACCCGAAGGGTGTACAGGCGGGAGCGGGGACAGTAGGGAATGCGGGAGAGGAAGCGACCTGTGGAGGTTTGGTAAAGGTCACAATGGTTAGCACCACCTGGGGTGACAGTGGTGATCATGGATTGTTGGAGGGACCTTTGGGAGAGGAGGTTGGTGCGAAGGGAGGGAATGTGAAGACCTGTGACAGTACCTGAGGGAAAGAGAGGACAGGGAAGGGTGGACGTGTTGTGACAGGGGATGGAAAAGCTACTATCGGCGCCGAGGAGGGACGTGGGTGTGGGGAGAGGATGGAGTTTGCCGGCATCGCGAAAGACATTGTCAGTGGCTCCACTGTCCAAGACGAACTCAAGGGTGGAGGAGGGTGAGGCGGAGTACTGAATTGAAGTTTCATTAATAGCAGGGGCATACATAGGGGATGCAACAGAAGGAGGCTGACTAAGCAGACCAACAAAGCCAGAGGAGGGAAAGGGGGTCACACTGCCACCTGTAGACGGTGCTAGGGATGAGCAAGGGGCGAACACGAACATGTTCGTGTTCGCCCCTAGACGAACACATCCGTTTGCCGAACCGAACACTGTTCGGTTCGGCGAACACTTTAAGCAAAAACTCGTGTTCGCCGTTCGCCTGTGAAGGCGTGTTCGGGCGAACCTCGAACACGTTCGTGTTCGTCGCGGGGCAAATTGCAGCAGCGGCCCGAACACGAACGTGTTCGGGCGAACATCGAACACTGTTCGGCGAACAATTTAAGCAAAAAAAACAAACCTGTTCGGTTCGCCTCGAACGTGTTCGAGGCGAACCGAACAGGTGTTCGCCCTTGTGCTCATGTCTAGACGGTGCAGGGGATTGACCGGTGAGGTGGGCCGCGGAGGCCGCATTTCCGGCGGTCCAGCCGGGAAACGACTGCTGCTGGGGGACAGAAGGAGGAGGGAGGAGAGGAAGCTGGGGCTGGAGGTCAAGCTGCTGCTGGAGCTGCTGAAGCTACTGCTGGAGCTGATGAAGCTGCTGCCCGTACTGCTGCTGGAGCTGCTGAAGCTGCTGCTGGAGCTGATGAAGCTGCTGCCCGTACTGCTGCGGCCCCTGCTGCTGGACACTTTGGTGCTGCTGCTGCTGCTGCTGCTGCTGCTGCTGGTGAGAGGGGAGAGCAAAGGCCTGGTGGGCCTGGGAGGAGGAGGAAGGGGCGTAAAGGGGGGAGGTGCGGACATCCAGGGGAGTGGGGCGGGGGTTGAGGGCGGACCAGCGAGGAGGGGTGCCAGAGTTCCCACGAGCGAACCACTCATCACTGAGTGCCTTGAAGCACGTCTCAGTCGCATGAGTGGTATGGTTGCAGCGTTGGCCTCGGGTGGGGCCATAGAGGGGGAGATACTGACAGGGTGGGAAGGCCGCTGCTGCACCACGACCCGCACCACCACGACCGCCAGAGCCGCCTCGACCACCACCACGCCCACCTCCACGCCCCCCTCCACGCCCGCCTTTGCTGCTGCGCTGCTGTGCTGCTGCGGCAGTGGAGGAGGAGTGGCGCAGGATTTCAGCTTCATTGGTGATGATCCATTGCGCAACTTGAGCGGGAGTGTCATGCTTGGAGAGGAGTTGCATGTAGGCCAGCTTGTGGGCATCGAAGGCAGGAGTGAGACCTTCGAGAAGGTGGCAGCAGATGACGGTGTCAGGGTAGACAACACCGAGCGCTGCAAGGCGGCGAGCAAGGTCAAGGACGCGGCGAGTAAAGGCAGCTGCGCCGGCAGTGGAATCCATGGTGATGGATCCGAATTCCTTAATGAGTGCATAGAGAGTGGCGATGTCCTGTCGGTCAAAGAGGTCGACAAGCAGCTGCCACAGGTGGGAGGAGGAGGTGGGGGAGAGCTCTCGTTTGAGGGAGGAGGGGATGGTGGCGAGGAGGATAGCGAGAGCTCGACGATCAGCAACGCGCCACGCAGCGATATCGGTGGTGTAGGTGGTGAGGCGGGTTGTGTAAGTGGCGAACTGGGCTTGGTATTCACGGTGGCGGGCAGCACTATCGTAGATGCGCTTGTCATCGTCGTAGCGCAGTTGGCGGCGAAGGTGGTCGTTGAGTGAGGTGCGATAGGCACGAATGGCAGACTCCACGCTTTGTGGGTTGTGAACATCCGGCGCGAAGGAGGGGGGATCACCAGGAGGCTCGGGCTCGGGTCCGGGCTCATCGGGAGCAGGTCCAGTGGGGGCGGAAGGGGCGATGGGCTGGAGTCCACCCTCCTCCTGGAGCACGACGGAGCGAAGGGTATATCCGCTGACGATGACCGAGGAGAGCAACACCTCGACGGAGTGAGCGTAGGAGTGCCAGTTGGCGGCCGAGTTGTCGCCCAGCAGCTCGAGAGCGTCAATGGTCGCTAGATCGACCGACGAGTCCGACGACGCCATGACGGCGGAGGGGTGAAGGCGCCGCTGCTGATGCCGCTGCTGCCGGTGCTGGTGCCGCTGCTGCTGCCGCTACCGGTGCCGCTGCTGCTGCCGCTTCTGCTGCTGCCGCCGATGCCGCTGCTGCTGCCGCTGCCGATGCTGCTGCTGCTGCCGCCGCCGATGCTGCTGCTGCCGGTGCTGCTGCTGGAGCCGCCGCTGGAGCCGCTGCTGCTGCCGCTGCTGCTGCCGCCGTCGATGCCGGTGCTGGTGCCGCCGCTGCTGCTGCTGCCGGTGCCGCTGCTGGTGCCGTTAAGGGAAGTAGGAGGAGGAGGTAGAGGGGGGGAAGAGAGGTTGGTGCGGAAGTGTGGGAAGGGGCGCGGGTGTGGGGCAGGATAGGGGGAGGAGGGAGGATTAGGGTTGCGGGGTCGTGGGGGTCGCGGGCAGCCGAGCGCGACGGCGCGCAGGTCAGCCGCGGCTCGGCGCCAGCCGTCCCTGGTGCCGTTAAGGGAAGTAGGAGGAGGAGGTAGAGGGGGGGAAGAGAGGTTGGTGCGGAAGTGTGGGAAGGGGCGCGGGTGTGGGGCAGGATAGGGGGAGGAGGGAGGATTAGGGTTGCGGGGTCGTGGGGGTCGCGGGCAGCCGAGCGCGACGGCGCGCAGGTCAGCCGCGGCTCGGCGCCAGCCGTCCGCGTCGGCGCAGGGTCGTCGGCGGCCGCGCGCTGGCCGTCTGCGTCGGCGCGCGGCTCGTCGGCGGTCGCGCGCTGGCCGTCTGCGTCAGCGTGCGCCTCGGGCGGTCGCGCGCTGGCCGTCCGCGTCTGCACGCGGGTCGTCGGCGGTCACGCGCTGGCCGGCCGCGTCGGCGCGCAGGTCGCTGGCGACAGCGCGCTGACCGTCCGCGGCGGCGCGCAGGTCGTCCGCGGCGGCGCGCAAGTCGTCCGCGGCGGCACGCAGGTCGGCCGCGTCGCCGCGCAGGTCGGCCGCGTCGCCGCGCTGGTCGTCCGCGTCGCCGCGCTGGTCGTCCGCGTCGCCGCGCTGGTCGGTCGCGTCGGCGGGCAGGTTGAGGCGTGGCGACGGGGGGGGAGGGTTGCTGCCACGGGGAAGCGGTTTGAGGCCGCAGAAGGACGGTTTGAGACCGTGAGAGGGAGAATTTAGGCCGCGGGAGGGAGGATTGAGGCTGCGGGAGGGAGGATTGAGGCCGCGGGAGGGAGGATTGAGGCCGCGGGAGGGAGGATTGAGGTCATAGTCCGCTAGGGTAAAGGAGCGGAGAGTAAGTTGCAGTCTAAGGATCGAGGGAAGGTGGCGTGAGCCATTTGGCTCTGAATACCATGATAGAATTCAAGAATTGATTGAGTAATGAGCCAAGGAGGCTCTATAGTACAAGCATGCAAGGAAGAGAGAAGTGGAGGAGGAGCTAACCCTATTGGCCACTAAGTTGGCCAATGGGTGAGGTGCCTTGTGGAGTAGGAAACTCCACAATGTAGATAGGATGTGATTGGTTGGTGTTGGGACCAAAAGTTGGCAAGTGCCAACCAAGGACCAAGACCAAAACCAATCTTGACCAAACACAAAGTGTGGTTGGAGTGTACACCCAACCCCCCAAGAGCAAAAGGGACTACACCTATTCTAGCCTATGAATGTTGTATATAATGTACATCTACAACACTGTTGCGTTCTGAAGTCTGTAAGTCCAAATCAACTAGTCCTTATGGTTTCTGCTGTCTGCATGTGCTGCATCAAGTCCGGCGTATGCCATCAATTCCACGGCGCATCTCACTTCCTTCCTTCCTTCTCCAACCCTAGCTCGCGCCAAGTGCTCTTGCCCATGCATGCACCTGCTCTTACATATTACCAACAAACCTTCCTCTCCCTCCCCTTCCTGTCTTCTCCACCTCTTCCCCTCCACTCCTCCCTCTCACTTCATCCCCCTCCACTAACCCCATCCCGCTCCCACTCCACTCCCACTCCACTCCCTCCCCACCTCCCGCCCCCCGATCCCCCCCCCACGCCCCCTGCCAGCGCCCTCCGCATTCTCCTCGACCTCGTGCTCTCCACAGGAGCAGACGCAGACTCCGACCAATCAGACGCCACCGCACCGCCACGTGTCACCCTGCGGTTGGCGCGCCTGCGGGAGATGAGCGTGCGAGTGCTGTACCACCTAGCAGCAGACCCCGCCACGTCAGCACCCACGGCAGTGCTGCTGCAGGCAAAGCCGCTGAGCTTCTTTGCTCCGCTGCTCTCCTCCGCGCTCTCAGCGCCTCTTCCTCGCCGCAGCAGCAGCCCCGGCCACCGCGTGGCGGCCCTGCATGAGGTGAGTGAGGTGTGGGAGGGGTGAACAGCGCTGGGTGGGGTGAGTGAGCTGTGGGTGTGTTGAAGAATCAAATCGAGGATTACCTTTTGGGATCTGGGGGGCTGTGAGGGGGGCTGTGAGGCGTCCGGTCCGGGTACTAGCCATTGGTGGGGTGCATGTTTGCGATTGCCCTCACGAGGATCGCCAGCGCACCACTACTACCTACCTACCTACCTACCTACCTACCTACCTACCTACCTACCTACCTACGTACCTACCTACCTACCTACCTACCTACCTACCCAGTACATTGCATGCTTTCTTCTGTGCTGACCCATGATGACTCGACTCTGTGTGTGTCTGTGCGGTTTCCCGTAGCAGTGTTTTATTTTCCTATGGGATTTCCCATTCTCCTTCCCTCTCCCCCATCCCTTCCTCCGGAACAATTCGCTCCCTCACTCACTCACCCAACACCCCTCGACCCTCAACGCTCGACCTTCAGGCCTCAACCCTCACCCCTCGCCCTCACATTTCCCCTCACCCCTCGCCCTTCACCCCTCACCCCCATCCCCCCTCCAAAACACCCCTCGCCCCTCCCTGCAGCGAGCGTGGCTGCTGAAGCTGCTGGCGCTGGCCCTCCACACAACGCCCCCTGCCCCGCACGCCCACAAGCACCACCACTCCCACCACGCCGCCCACTCCGCCACCGCCGGGCGGCAGCTGGAGATCTGCCGGCAGATTCTGTCGGCACTGTTCATGGCAGACGGGGGTGTAGGGGGGGCGGAGGAAGTGGGGGAAGGGGGGAATGGTGCGCTGGTGGTGTGGGGAGGAGGGGAGCAGCAGGCAGAGGGTGTGAGGGGAGGTGTGCTGGGGGTGAGTCACAGTAGGCATGAGCAACACTCATAGCAAGCAGGGGTGCCACTGGGCTGGCGAGGGATGAGACTTTCCGTTTTCTTCTGATGAATCGGGCTGCCTGTTTGTGTTGCTCGCGCTTCTTGTTCAAACTTGGTCCACACACGCGCCTCTCACACCGTTTTTGTAGTGTGGAGGCACCTCGCGGCTCGAGCCCTCGTCACTGTGCTACATACTGACTGCTTACATCGTCCTTTTCGCCCCTCCTGCACCCCCTCCCTCCCACCCACCCCATTACTGCTGCACGCGCCCCTCCACTGCTGCACGCGCCCCTGGTATGGCATGGCAGGCGACGCAGCTGTTGGAGTTGTTCCTCTTCGCCCTGCCGGACGTCACCCCCAGCTTCCTGCCGCACATCGCTGCCGTGCACCACCAGCTGCAGGTGACCTCCCTCCCTCCCCCAGGTGCATGCGTTAGAGGCACAGCAGCAACGCTGCATGCTTTAGATTCATAGTGACTGACTAGGGTGCTCTCGCGCGGGTCACCCTCTCGTCTCCCTTCTCGCCTCTCGTGCCATTTGGGCTGGAGGGGGTGCTGGGAAGGGAATGGCAGAAACAGTGGGTGCTAGAGGCGTGCTTGAAAGTCTGAAAGGACGAGCTCACGGCCCTCAGCCTCCCCTTCTCACCATCTCTCACGCCTCACCATCTCTCACGCCTCACCATCTTTCACGCCTCACCATCTTTCACGCCTCACCATCTCTCACGCCTCACCATCTTTCACGCCTCACCATCTCTCACGCCTCACCATCTCTCACGCCTCACCATCTTTCACGCCTCACCATCTCTCACGCCTCACCATCTTTCACGCCTCACCATCTTTCACGCCTCACCATCTTTCACGCCTCACCATCTTTCACGCCTCACCATCTTTCACGCCTCACCATCTTTCACGCCTCACCTTTCCCCAAACCTCCTCCCCCCAACCCACCCCCGCACTCCCCTCTGTGAGAATCCCATAGTTGGGATGAGAGGTGAACTCAAGAGTTGGCATATTGAGAAAGAAGAGCAGTACAAATAGTGAGTGACCAAAACTAGGGTTACCCCCCACCATTATTGGTTGACCAATGTGGTGGAGGTTCAGCCCAATAATTGTGGTTGCGCCAATTATTGGAGGAGCCAAACATTGGAGGGTTGGGCACCAATGTTGGCTCCCCAACAATGATGGTTGCTTGGGTTGTGGGAACCCAACCAAAAGTTGGGAGACCTCCTGAATGTGTACACCCATGTTTTGGGTGTACACTGTTAGGTCTAGCCATATGCATGCTATAATCTAACACCCTCCCCTTGTCGCTTCCCTCCTACACTACCCACCGCAGCTGGAGGAGCTGTTGGGGACCGCAGCAGGAGTGGCGGAGGGGGGCGTGTTTGAAGTGAATGAGAGGGGCGACCGCCTTGTGGACCTGCGTGCTCTCTCCCACATCCTCACCCATGTGCGTGCTCTCTCCCACATCCTCACCCATGTGCGTGCTGATACTCATTGAAATGCTTTCTGATACTGTCACTAAACAATCCTCTCCCACCCTCGCTTTATCTGCTTTCAATCTTTCCCCCTTTTCCTATTTTAGCATCTGCGATCGAGCCCACTCCTTTTTACCATCTCATTCGCAACCCCGTCTTTTGTGTTATGGCATCGCATGGCATGATATGGTGTGGCATGGCATGGCATGGCATGGCACGATGTGACATGGTTTGGATTGGCCATCAGAGGTTTGCCTTGCTGGAAGCACAGCGAGGTCCGGGAGCACCGTTTCTCCCAGGCCCTAACCTGGGGGTGGCAGGCTCGGCAGCAGGTTCGGCAGAGGTGCGGCAGGAGGCAGTGAGGGAGGCGTTGAGGTTCGTGTGGCGGCGCAACCGAGTGGAGGAGGAGGCAGCAGCGCAGCAGCATGTGGCTCTCGCGTGGGCGCAGCTGCTGCAAATGGCTCTCTCCAGAAGATTTGATCTGCTGCCACCACATGCCAGGCTGGAAGCCTTGCTGCAGTGAGTCTGGGCTTTAGTCGCCATGCCTGCCTGCCTGCCTGCCTGCCTGTCCCACCCACCATCTACTTTTTTTTTACTTTTTTTTTCACCAGGATTGTTTCTCTTCTTTGCGTCAGCACCCTCGTCCCGATGTGTATAGTGGCGAGCTTCCCTCCCCCTGCTGCGCTGCGTGCAGGCTGCTCTCTGCGTGTCTTAGAGCCATCGCTGCGCCTCACACTCCCCTCACCCTCGCCAAGCCCATCTCCCAGGTAGTGAATGCCATGTGGTGTCACCTGCTGCCATGTGGTGTCACCTGCTGCCATGTGGTGTCACCTGCTGCCATGTGGTGTCACCTACTGCCATGTGATCTCACCTACTGCCATGTCACCTACTGCCATGTCACCTGCTGCCATGTCACCTGCTGCCATGTCACCTGCTGCCATGTCACCTACTGCCATGTGACATTGTGATTGTTCTTTTCCGGACTGCATCCTTCCCTTGTATCCTCTCGTTTCCCATTCTCTCGCCCCTGTGCTGTCTCTCACCTGTAGCACCTTCCCACGTGTGCGCCACAGGACCTCTGGTCGTTCACTTTCCATATTCCGCCACCCCTTCACCTCATCTTCTCTCCCATCCACTCCTCTCTCCCCTCTGCTCCTCTTTCCCCTACGCTCCTCTCTCCCCCCCTCCTCCGCTCACCTGCGCTCCACGTCGCCTCAGGTGGTCCTAGTGGCATTCCTGCAGCTGCAGCACCTCTCCTCCTCCTCCTCGCCCACCTCCATTGACACTCCCTCCTCTGACGACGCGGGCGAGGTGACGTGGAGCGACGTGATTGGCCACTCGTCCCTCTCCGACACAAGCAGCAGGGAGGGGCTAGGAGGCGGGGCGAGTGGGGCAGGGGGCGGGGGGGCAGGGGGCGGGGGCCCTCGGAGGCAGGTGTCAGTGGCGGAGAGCACGGGGCTGCTGAGGGACCTGCTGGGCGCGCTCATGCGGAAGGACTCCTCTGATAGCCTCCGCCGGAGGTGCGTGGGTCACAGGCTGTGAGTGCGCGGCAAGGAGGGTTGAGTGGGCGGCGGCAGGAGGTGAGTGGGCGGCGGCAGGAGGTGAGTGGGCGGCAGGAGGAGGTGATTGGGCGGCAGGATGAGGTGAGTGGACGGCAGGAGGTGGGTGGGCGGCAGGCGGGGGTGAGTTGGGAGGAGCTGGGAGGAGTGAGTGGGGGGCAGGAGGAGGTGAGAGCAGGTGGGAGGGTCTGCACCTCACTGCCAGCCTGATGTGATGATGAGATCACCTCTCTCCCTCACATTCACTCTCCACTGTCCCTTTCTCCTCCAACCCCTTCCATCTCCATCCTTCCATCAATCGCCACCCTCTCCCCCTGCTCCCCCCTCCCTTCCCCCTCTCTCCCCCCCTCTCCCCGCTTCCCACCCCTCTCCCCCCCCCTTCTATCCCCCGCCAGGCTCTACACATCACTCCTCACCTTCCTCGCCATCTGTGCGCGCCGCTTCCGCAGTGCTGACGTTGATATCTCGCCAGCTGTCATGGCCGTCATTCTCAAGGAGCTGCCCGGGGAAGAAACTTCCTCTGACCGCTCCCTTGATATGGTGCGCTCGTTGCTGATGGTGGGGGGGAAAGGGGGGGTTGGAATGGAAGGGGGGGAGGTGGGGTGGTGGGAAGGGGAGGAAGAGACCTCCTCTGACCGCTCCCTGGAAATGGTGGGTGGGTGTTGGTGGGAGGATTGGGTTGGGGTGTTGGGGAGGGGGACACGGCGGGGAGGGGGGTGAAGCTTTACCATATTCTTGAAGGTCGATTTTTTTAAATTGTCAAAATCAAGCTCCAAAAGAACATGTCGACAGCTGTCAGTTATGGCTGCCCTGCCAACCTCAAAGAGCTTCAACCTTCCTCGGGAAAGAGGCATCCTGCGACCACTCCTTGGATATGGTGGGTTCTGGGAACAGGGGGAAAGGGAGAGGATGAGGGGAAAGGGGGGGTGTGGGAGAGCGCGGGTGTGCTCTCCACGTGTGTCCCTGCCACCAATCTCTCTCACATTCAATTCAACCCCCCACTCACCCCTTCTCTCCCCCCCCCACACCCCACCCCCCCAACACACACACGCTCCCTCCTTTCCTTCCCTGCGCTCGACCTTCCACTCAGTCGCATGCACAGCCTGCCATTCTGTGACCTTCTGAGTCCACTCACACACATGCATTCACCATCACACATGCATTCACCATCACACATGCATTCACCACCACACATGTTGCACAAAACAACTTCTGCACCCCCCGATGAGCATGACGTGTCAATCAACCGGGGGGTGAGGGGTGAGGGTTCCCCACACCCCCTTCCCTCTGCTCCGCACCCCCTTCCCTCTGCTCCGCACCTTCTTCCCTCTGCTCCTCACCCCCCTCTCTCTGCTCCTCACCCCCCTCTCTCTGCTCCTCACCCCCCTCTCTCTGCTCCTCACCCCCCTCTCTCTGCTCCTCACCCCCCTCTCTCTGCTCCTCACCCCCCTCTCTCTGCTCCTCACCCCCCTCTCTCTGCTCCTCACCCCCCTCTCTCTGCTCCTCACCCCCCTCTCTCTGCTCCTCACCCCCCTCTCTCTGCTCCTCAACCCCCTCTCTCTGCTCCTCACCCCCCTCTCTCTGCTCCTCACCCCCCTCTCTCTGCTCCTCACCCCCTCTCTCTGCTCCTCACCCCCCTCTCTCTGCTCCTCACCCCCCTCTCTCTGCTCCTCACCCCCCTCTCTCTGCTCCTCACCCCCCTCTCTCTGCTCCTCACCCCCCTCTCTCTGCTCCTCACCCCCCTCTCTCTGCTCCTCACCCCCCTCCCTATGCTCCTCACCCCCTTCCCTCTGCTCCTCACCCCCCTCTCTCTGCTCCTCACCCCCCTCTCTCTGCTCCTCACCCCCCTCTCTCTGCTCCTCTCCCCCCTCTCTCTGCTCCTCACCCCCCTCTCTCTGCTCCTCACCCCCCTCTCTCTGCTCCTCACCCCCCTCTCTCTGCTCCTCACCCCCCTCTCTCTGCTCCTCACCCCCCTCTCTCTGCTCCTCACCCCCTTCCCTCTGCTCCGCACCCCCTTCCCTCTGCTCCTCACCCCCCTCTCTCTGCTCCTCACCCCCCTCTCTCTGCTCCTCACCCCCTTCCCTCTGCTCCGCACCCCCTTCCCTCTGCTCCTCACCCCCCTCTCTCTGCTCCTCACCCCCTTCCCTCTGCTCCGCACCCCCTTCCCTCTGCTCCTCACCCCCCTCTCTCTGCTCCTCACCCCTCTCTCTGCTCCTCACCCCCTTCCCTCTGCTCCGCACCCCCTTCCCTCTGCTCCTCACCCCCCTCTCTCTGCTCCTCACCCCCCTCTCTCTGCTCCGAACCCCCCTCTCTCTGTTCCTCACCCCCTTCTCTCTGCTCCTCACCCCCCTCTCTTTGCTCCTCACCCCCCTCTCTCTGCTCCTCACCCCCCTCTCTCTGCTTCGAACCCCCCTCCCTCTGCTCCGAACCCCCTTTCCCGCCACCTCCCTGTCAGTTGGAGCGGCAGCGCAGGGAGATGCAGCGGGCCACACACGCCCTCCTCTCGCCCCACCTGCCCACTCTCATCCGCACTCTCTCCCACGACGCCTCCTCCTCCCCCTCCCCCCTCACTCGCTCCCTCGCACTCGCCGCCCTCTCATCCCTCCTCTCCCACTCCGCTGACCCAATCGCGGCCTCCGCCAGCCTGGCGCCGACCAATGGCATCGCGACAGCTGGACGGGACCACCGGAGCATTTTTGCGCAATCCGTGGGCGGTGGGCAGAATCAGAATCTGCCAATTGGATTCGGGCGATTGCCGGATTTGGCGCCAGGGATGACGTCAGCACTGGCGGTGGCGTCCACGTCAGCAGCGGCTGTGCTGAGTCAGATGCAGGCGCACGGAATGGTGCAGGCGTGCATAGCTGACGTCAGCAAGGGGATTTCAGAGGTGTGTGGCATGGCATGTGTGAAACCTTGATCGGTGCAGTGCTGCAGCTGAATTGACTGAGTTCAATTCAACTCGCTGCACCGTTTATATCAAGTGCCATCTGCACAGCTTCTTACATGGGGCTGCAGTCTATCCCTTACCATTCCCCACTCCTGGACTTCCGACGTACTACACCCTCATACTTCCACTGTCCCGACCCCCTCTTCTCCTCTCCCTGCTAATCCCCCTCTCGCAGGTGCTGCCACTCCCCGCAGCAGATGCCCAGCGCCACGCATTCGTGACGAGGCGCGCCTGTCGCTGCTGCTCTCACACCACCCCTCCCCTTCCCCTCCCCTTCCCCTCCCCTTCCCTCCCCCTCCCCTCCCCCCCGTATCCCCTGCCCAACAGGTGCTCCTGCTGCCCTCGGCCGACGCACAGCGCCAGGCGTTCGTGACGGAGGCGCGGCTGGCGCTGCTGCTGGCCATGGCGGCGGCCACGGGGCGCCAAGGGCTGCTGCTGCTGCTCAACGCGGGATTCCTCCGCGCCATGGCTGCATGCCCCTCCCTCGACGCCCCTGTTTCTGTCAGTCCCCCCCCCCGCACTGCGCCGCACCACACCGCACTGCACCGCACTGTACTGCACCCCACTGCACTGCATTCACTCACATACCATGCCATGCCGCACAACACTTGCCAATGTATTGTGCGGGGTCAAAGTTCTCTGCTCAACTCGCCCCACACCCGACCCAGTGGGTCTCTCATACCCAGGCGCCCCCATCCGAGTCGCTCTGCTTCTCCCACCTCGTCTCCCCTCTTCTGCCCCCACTGTTTGCGCTTCCATGCTGGATCTCTCAACACCCATTGGTCCGGTTCTACCTCCACCCCTGTGAACACCACCCCACCCCACCGCCTCCCACCCCCCAGGAGGCATCCTACCTGGCACCGCCCCCAGTGGGGCTGTCATCTCTGGACGTGCCTTCGGAGTCTCTCTGCTTCGCTCACCTCGTTGCCCCCGTGCTGCGCCTGCTGCTCGCCCTCTCCACCCTCGCCCCGCCCGACGCCTCGCTCTCACCACACGCACCACCATCCGACGCCACTGTGAGCCGCATCGCATGCTCCTGAGTAGCACTGCACAACTGCCCATAGCCCTGTAGCACTGCACAACTGCCCATAGCCCTGTAGCACTGCACAACTGCCCATAGCCCTGTAGCACTGCACAACTGCCCATAGCCCTGTAGCACTGCACAACTGCCCATAGCCCTGTAGCACTGCACAACTGCCCATAGCCCTGTAGCACTGCACAACTGCCCATAGCCCTGTAGCACTGCACAACTGCCCATAGCCCTGTAGCACTGCACAACTGCCCATAGCCCTGTAGCACTGCACAACTGCCCATAGCCCTGTAGCACTGCACAACTGCGCATAGCCCTGTAGCACTGCACAACTGCCCATAGCCCTGTAGCACTGCACAACTGCCCATAGCCCTGTAGCACTGCACAACTGCCCATAGCCCTGTAGCACTGCACAACTGCCCATAGCCCTGTAGCACTGCACAACTGCCCATAGCCCTGTAGCACTGTAGCACTGCCCATAGCCCCTTCATCTTCAACTCATTTCACGTGGATTTTGAATGGACGACATTGTGAGGTGGCGCCTCGAGAATCCTTCAGATTTCACTGTGTGATCCACATGCACTTGCCATTAATCAACGCGCCTCACAAATATTTCTAGTACTTTGGAGGCATCTCGAGATTCCTCTTCATACCACATTAATTCACTTGCCGCTGCGGCTGCGCCGTGCTGCTGTTGTGCTGTCACCCGTCCCTCTCACCTCACGTCCATTACATCTCACCGCACCGCACAGCACACCCATCTGATCGCATGACTCACTGCCCTCTGCCCCCCGTGCACACACAGTCCAAGGCAGGCGTGGCATCACAGCTGCTGCACTTCCTTTTGAGGCGCCTCAAAAGTCTCATCTCTCACTCCCCTCTGCCCCCCTGTGGGCCTTGCGCAGTCAAAGCGGACGTGGCATCACAGCTGGTGCGCTTCGCTGTGCACCACGACCCCATGCTCTCGCACCCACTCTTCTCTTCTCTCCTCCCCCTTGCACGCTCACTCCCGTCATCACAGTCAAAAGCGGACGTGGCATCACAGCTGGTGCAGTTCGCCATCCATCACGAGCCCATGCTCTCACGCCTGCTGGAGGACCGCTCGCCCGCCTGCAACCCCACCGACCTGCTGCTGCTCTCCCTCTCCACCGCCTTCCTCTCCCGGGTTCGCTCACTTCCATGTATCCAGATCAAGGGGTACTTTGTGAGAAGACGTGTGAAGTAGGAAGAGGAATCGATGATACATTAGAGGTGACGAGGGCATACATAGTTGTGCTAGAGGGGTGGGGTTTGGTCGGGTTCCTAGGCAACATTATTGGCCCCTACCAATAAGTTAGGTTGAGGAATTTATTGGGGGGTCCAATCATGCTGGCAAAAGTGGGCCAACATAACTGGAGGTCCAATAATCTCCCAACCCAACCTTGGGGGCCAAATAATTGGCCCAAGGTTGGGTTTCAACCCCGAACTAGGGTTAACCCTAGTTGTACACTCAAACTAGGTTTGAGTGTCTATCCCTACTCAAGGCTCATAAGATAGATGCAGGTTACAACAGAGGTTGGTACTCTGACATACCTAGCCTGCCTCCTCCCTCCCGTCCACTCACCCCCGTCTCCATCTCATCCTCCCACTTAAGGGACATATAACGTGTTTCGGGATTGAAAGCGCAAGAGTTTAAACGTTGTAAGTTATGGAATTCACCGTTTCACGTTCTCCTTCCGTCCCCCTCCCGCTCTCTGCTGCAGACGCTCCTCTGCCCCAACCCCTCCCAACTGAAGGGGCTGCAAGGTCTCATGCTGCAGGCAACAGCAGTGGGCGAGGGGATGGGAAGATCCCATTCTCTAATGGTCCTTTCTCTGTCGCTGTCAAGTTTCAACTGCTCTCCATCCCCTTGCCCATCCCCTTCCTCCCTCTCTCCGTCCCTCTACCCCAGGCGCTTCTCTGGGCCGACCCCTCTCAGCTGGAGGGGCTGCGAGGCCTCATGCTGCGGGCAGCGGCGGCGTACAGCGTGGGCGATGGGGAGAGCCGCGTCAAGTATGTGCGGCAGCGCGTGGCGAGGGAGGAGGATGACCGTGCTGGAGAGATCGGTGGGATCTCACTCTCCCTGCTCCTTCCTCCGGTGCGTTGGGGTTGGGGTTGCCTCAAAGCCCATCTCATTTCACTGCTCTGCTGCAGCAGCAGGTGCTGTTTGTGATCGCTCTCTGGCGTATGCAATTCCTCGTCCTCTCATCGCACACCCCCCCCCCCCTCCTCTCCTCTCCCTTGCCCACTCCTCAGCTCTCCTTCCTCTACCATTCTCCTCCCCATCTCTCCTTCCTCTACCATTCTCCTCCTCAGCTCTCCTTCCTCTACCATTCTCTTCCCGCTCTCTCACGTGACCTCCCATCTTCTCATCCACTGAAACCCCCATCATCGGCGCATGCGTGGCAGGAGGAGCAAGCAATGGAGGAGGGGGTGTTGAGAGTGAGGGCCAACCTCATGGCGTACCTGCGCTCCCTCGTCGCCTTCAAACGCCTCCTCCTGCCCGCCGCCTCCAAGCACCAGGTGATTCGCCATGCTGCCTCCAAGCACCAGGTGATTCGCCGTGCTGCCTCCAAGCACCAGGTGATTCGCCGTGCTGCCTCCAAGCACCAGGTGATTCGCCGTGCTGCCTCCAAGCACCAGGTGATTCGCCGTGCTGCCTCCAAGCACCAGGTGATTCGCCGTGCTGCCTCCAAGCACCAGGTGATTCGCCGTGCTGCCTCCAAGCATCAGGTGATTCGCCATGCTGCCTCCAAGCATCAGGTGATTCGCCATGCTGCCTCCAAGCATCAGGTGATTCGCCACGCTGCCTCCAAGCACCAGGTGTTTCGCCCTGCTGCCTACAGGCACCAGGTGATTCGCCAGCATGTATCTGTTATCTGCCATGTCCTCCTCACCTTGTCTAGTGTGACACAAGCATTCATCCCATCCCATGCCATGCAATCAGAATGCTCCACTGTCCCCTTCTGACGTTCCCACTCTCTTGGTTCTTCCCTGCACTGTCTCCACCACTCCTTGCATGTCACGTGGCAGCATCAGGGCCCCACATTGAGCCTCTTATCAGACCTGCTCCGTCAGATGGTCATCGACCTGCAGGCAGCTGTGGAGGCACGTGGCACTGCGCTCACCAAGGTGTGTGTGTGTGTCTCTCTCTCTCTCACCCCTCGGTTCTATGCAGCACCCTATAGCACCACGCAACACCGCACCGCACAGCACAGCACAGCACAGCACAGCGCAGCACAGCACAGCACAGCACAGCACAGCACAACAGCACAGCACAGAATCCTTGTTGCTGGATACCCCAAAGTACCTCTTTGTGTTGCCCCCCTTACAACCTTGGTAGTGCAAACTTGCTCCACGCACGAACCCGTTCCATCTCCTATCTCATCCTCCTTGCCCTCTCATATTCCTTTCCCCATAATGTTTTCATGACATGACGTGGCATGATGCTATGGTACGTGATGGCATGGGAAATGATGGCATGTCATGGCATGGCATGGCATGGCGTGGCATGGCGCATGAGGGCACACGCCACCAGCTGGCGGATGTGAACGACATGTCACGGCACGAGGCAGAGGAGCTCATCCATGCCACTGCCTTCCACGCGCCCCACTCCGCCGCCCACTCCCACCTGCCCCTCCGCCAAGCGTAATTCCTCCTCAACCTCTAACCCTCTCACCCTTACCTTTCCCCCCGGCCCTCCTCATCTCGTTCCCTGCTCTTCCTTCTGCTGTCACTGTCTTCCATGCGCCCCACATCCCTCCCTATTCACCTTCCCTCCTGCAAGCGTGTTGCCGCTTATGTGGATAATCTTCATTTACTTGTGAGACCTCTCAAGCTCAATCCCTCTACCGACCTCACCCCTCGCAGGTGGCACCCACCCGCCAGGCGCTACTCATCCTGACCATGCCAGCCTAGCATCCACCAAAGAGAGAGCCCTCACATGGATGCTCTTCATCTGTCAACACCTCCTTCACCTCCTCCTCTGCCCCCATCCCTCCCCTGACCCCCCCTTCTTCTCCCCCCATTCTTCCCCCCGTCCCTATCCAACCCCTACCGCCCACGGCGCAGGCGGCGGCAGGCGCTATTGATCCTGGCGGGGCTGGCATCCAGCAAGGAGCGCGCGCTCTCATGGATGCTCTTCATCTGCGAGCACCTGCTGCACCTCCTCCTCGCCCACTTCTCCCTCCACCACTCCCTCCTCTCCCGCTCCTCCTCGCCCCTCGCCTCCTCGCTCTCGCCCTCCCCCACCACCTTCTCCTCCCGCCCGCGCTCCCTGCGCGTGCAAGGGCCGCGCGTCTCCCCCTCTCCTGGGGGGCCTGATGGGATGGGGTTCGGGGGAGTGGCAGACGGGGGAGAGGATGCAGGAGCGGCAGCAGAGGCAGCAGCGGCGGGGATGGGTGGGGGGCACAGCAGGGAGGAGTTTGAGTCGACGGTTGGGACCACTGCTGACCTGGAGAAGGTGGCTCGTGAGGTGCTGCCAAGTGTCAACAGACTAGTGGAGGTGAACGAGGTGAGCTGGTGCATTCAATGTTATTCTTGGTTGAATGATATCTGCTTTATAGCTGTCTGAACGGTAATGAGAGTGTGATGGTTGGGGGTGGACAATCCACCACACGCTACAGGCGGAGCCGCGGGAGTAGGACGTCACGTTGGTGCAGCAGGTATGGGTAATGTTGCCCCGCATAGACGGAGTCACTGGGATTGCTCATGAGACAACATTGCTCCTCTGTTCTGTCCGGCTGCCGCCCGCTCTCCCCAACTGCCAGCCATTGGCTGCCGCCCGGGTTCCCCAACTGCCAGCCATCGCTCTCCCCCCGGCTGCCGCTCCCCTTGCAGGGCCACGTGGGGTGCTGCACAGACTACATGAACGGAGTTTTATGGCGCCTCAAAACTGGTCTACTCTCATGAATCAAAGCTCATCTCATGCCACGCCTCAAAACCCCCGTCCACCGCTCCCCTTGCAGGACCGTGTGGGCTGCAGCACAGACTACATGAAGCGCCTTGCTCTCTCACTGCGCTCCTCCCTGCTGCGCCAGTTCCACCTCTAAAGCCGTGCTCAATATTGACCACCAGTGCTCATTGCTGCGCCCTTAGTTGCCAACTATAGATGGTACATCAGCTGCATAGGTGTGTTACAGTGTGCTGCAGCTTTTGTCCTGAGCAGGGCTGTTTCTTGTGAGTAGTGTAGAATGTTACACTGATTTGACATATGGTATGTTCTGGTTGGAAATATCAACTACAAATTCTATTTCACTGGCTCGTCAATGTACAAATACTGGTATCTTCAGTTCCTGTAGAATATTATACCTTCATCCCTTCAATAGTCATGGTGACAGTGCACCTATCGTGGGCAGGGCCTCAGATTCCAGGAATTTTACCCTGATTTCCTGATGTTTGACCCCGGTTTTTTATTGTAACCCTGATGAATCAGCCTTTTTGTTTTTACAACCCTGATGAATCAGTGTTTTTCTTTTCCTAATCCTGATTTTCCAGTGTTTCTAGTTTGTCGACACTGACGAGTCAGTGTTGTATCGGAGACGACCCTGAAACCGAAAACTCCGTGATTCTCGCAGTTTTGCGCGCCGTCATCATGCATGAACCCACCCTGCACCGACGCCACCCTGCGGCGCGCCCAGATACAGTTGAACGGGTTAATTTCGGGCTGTGTTGGCAAAACGGCGTAAAGAGATTGGCTGTCCCAGCTGAAGCAATGTACCGTTGTCACGTTGGATAACCTACACTTGTCATTACTTTCCATTGATGTGCACAAACAACCAAGCCTAGTGGCCCAGTGGGCCAGTGGTCTGCCTTGTTCTTTCCACCAAGGCAGGGCGTGCTGGGGCGGCCCGCTCAGGCACCCCACGCAGGGGGTCTCGTGATTCTGCCATTCCAGCTCTCCAGACTCCATCCCTTTCCGAAACATCAATCTCTGCAGTCTCCCTGAAGCCTGCTCGGCAGGCTCTCTCTCTCCCAGGGTTTCTCGTTACTACTCACCGATTCAGGAAGGTGACGTGAACGCGCCATGGCGATCACCGGTGAGAACAGCTGCGGTGATGATGACGACGATGCACTTTACGCCGCCACCGAGATGCTGGAGGCCAGAACGGGACTAGATTTTCTAGTTTCCGCGCTCTCCCATGAAAAAGAGAAGCCAGGTCCCGTCGCCTCAGTAGCAAACACTGGTGAAGCGTCTGGCCTCTGCCGCGGAGACGATCGTCCCCAGCATGAACATGGTGTCCTTCCTTCTACTTAACCAAATGCGACTGTTTTTTGTTTTAATCGCAGGGAAGCACTCGCGGCCAAGGACGCGGCAGAGTCCCTACCGGAGTTTGGCATGGTCGACAGCTTCATCCGCTGGCTCTCCACCTACCTCGGCTCATCAGGACCCTGGCACCAGCGCTTCCTGGACCTTCAGGAAGTCTTCACTCAGACTAACCTGGAGCTCCAAGGAATCAATGATGTGCGTTGGCTCTCGCGCGGCGATGCAGTCTGCCGACTTCTTGCAGTCCTTCCGGGGGTCGTCGTGATGGTGCACGAGCTGGGAAACAAGCCCATGTACCAGATGGTGACCAGCTACAGATTCCAGTTCATGCTGCGCTTCCTCGCTGACGTGCTGGAACAGCTGAACGTGCTCAGCAAGACGTTCCAGCATCGACAGGTGAGATCCTGCTTTTGCCTGTGCATCCCTGTGTGCCGTGAGGACTGTGGGTTTAGGGCCGCTAGCTACGGCTAGTTCTGCTTCATGATTGAAACCTGGCTGTGCTTTCCCTACTGTTTTTGTGTGGCAGATTGACCTGCTGGCGATTCAAGGCCAGATCCGTCGCACGACAACCCACATCAACAGCCGTTATGTGGATTGTGGCGACGACTTCGGCGGCGGCCTGAGCGAGAAGCTGTCGCCCTTCATTGCACGACATGGACTGAATGGGGTGCGGAGAGTGGAGGTCGAGTGGGTTGACTCCGACGGCCGGCCCACTTCTCACTGCTACGTGCTGCATGATTCCCCCCTTGAAGGCTACCCCATTGCAGGGACCCATGAGCGATGCGTGGAGCAGTGCACGGCGATGGCGGAGGCGCTCGTGCATAACCTGGATGAGCGATTGGGTTCACTCGACAAGCTGAGCGGTGTGAAGCTGTTCATGCCCGACGAGTGGCCCCATGGACGGCAGGAGCGTTCCATGGTCTGCACGGAGCACCTTGAGTCCCTCACGACGCTCTTCAGGGCCCAAGAGTGCGACGAGATCGTTCCAGGTACGTACTTCTCTTTGGTCTGTGCATCGTTGTTTGTGCTGCTTTGTTGTGTAGCACCTAAACACTGGCACCACTTGTCTGGTGAGCCTTGCTTACCTTGTTCTTTTCCTTGTGCTTGCGCACTCCCTGACTCCCTCCAGGTGTCAACAAGAAGAAGGCGTTCAAGGAGCTCCGCACGTTCTGCACGGTTCTCGCTGGAGCCCCGAAGTCCGAGAGAAAGTTCTACCCGGGTCTCTCGGCGATGCTGAAGTCTCCTGACTGGGAGGACGCGTACCCCAACCTGGTGAAGCTGTGGATGGCTGTCGCTGTGCTACCGTTGAGCACAGTCGAGTGCGAGCGGGGGTTCTCGCGTCAAAACATCATCAAGAGCTGGCTGAGGGGTGCCATCAAGGATGCGCGGCTGTCGGACCTCATGTGCATGGCATTGCTGCCGTACGAGCCCGACTGGGCGGAGGTGGTGAAGATCTGGAGGGCGTACAAGAAGCGCAAGCCCATCACAACAGTGGCAGCACCAAAGAAGCAACCTAGTGCTAAGGGGAAAGAGAAGGTGGACGAGGATGATGCTGGTGGTGCTGGCTCTGGGTGGGGGACAGAGACCCCCGTGCACAGGCACGGTTCTATGAGCGATGGTGGTGGTAGTGACGAAGATGAAGACATGTGTGTGATGTGAATTGTGTGTGCGGTGTGAGCGCCAAGTGGTCTGTGCCTATAGTTAGATTAGAAGCTCATTAGAACCATATTTGAACTTTTCTTAACTTATTATACTTGTGATAGTTGTTGTGGATTCTCACCGCCAGTGTTTTTTTAAAACTCACGCTGATGTGTCAGGGTTTTTTTTTTCTAACCCTGAGAAATCAGTGTTTCTCCATTTACAACCCTGATGATCAGTGTTACAGCCCCAAAGGACCCTGAGTGCTCAGGGTCACCCAAAACGAATCTGAGGCCCTGATCGTGGGATTACTTGCCAGGGTTATGTACCGTAATCCCCAGGGTAAGCCAATCTAGGACTCAAACTCATTCATCCTAAAATTATGGTGTCCTGTCCTACGAGTGGTAAAGAAAATCTCTTCCACCCAGATCCTACATGCACGGCGAAGCAGTGTCAATTGTTGGGTTGAAAAGCCCTTAGGATCTTTGCAGGACTAAATTCCTGGTAAGACTGATGTAATAGCGGAAGCGTTTTAATGAGAACTTTGTGAACCACCTTGCGCTAGTATGTGAGGGCAAAGTAAATTGATTAAGACAAAGAGATACAAGCTTTTATAAGAGTACAAGGAATACGAAGAGATACAGTTAATAACCGTTTTGCTGTTGCTGTTGCGGTTCGATACAGTGACGACTCGGGCAAATGCTCAATAGCGAGTCAGTTGTTTGTCCTTGCTGTCGCGCTGTACTTGTCAGGTCAAAGGTCGCTGGCCTTTGACTTTCGCGTAACCTCCAGCAGTTGCTCAACCTCCGAAGGTTGACTCGCTAATGCTTCGATATGTTTCGCTTCGCTTCAGACTTGGTGTTTTGACACGACAGAGGCGTTTAAGTTACTTGTTTCCAACATCAATTACCGTACTACGTACGAGTGGGGTGGAGAAGTGTGGGGCTTAAAAGGAGAGTGTAAAATAGTTGTTGGGCCGCACTTGTTGCGACCAGAAACCTGATCCTGCATAGGATCACTCCAGATGTATTGCAGCAGAACAGAGTGTGTTGCAGCAGAAGTATTGACCTCATGTCAGAGAGAATTTAAAATGACTGAGATGATTTTAAAACAAGGGCATACATGATATTATATAGTAGTACAGGGGAAAACCAAACGTCCTAGCTAACCATGTACTATAAGGGGTACATTTCCTTAATAGAAGGAAACATGGTAACCGTGTGACTCCAGATGGTTACAAACATGTTCCCCCCAAAATCCTTGCTCCTGGTTCTGCTCGATGCTTCTGCTCAGACGGTCCAGATGCTGCCAACCATATACGACTCTTCGCGTCATTCCGACCTTTACTCGCCTTTGCATTATTCGCTTGCTACTGATAGGAGTGCACAATGTTTCTCTATTTACTAGTCGTAACGGAACTTAGCCCTAAGCCTACATTCGTGCGAAGACATGTCTCTTAAGAAAGTGTCGCAATCGTGTGTGATGCATAATACTACATATGCTGGCACGTGTCAGAATCTCAGACCGCGAGGAAGCGACTTGTGGTGTATTTTACACAGCCTGCACCCAACCACGCAACTCTCGCCCACGAGTTGCATGCAGCCCCACCTCGGATCAACGTGCCACGTAGGTCATGACTGAGTTTTTCCCGCCATCACACAATGCACGTCCCCCCTCCCTTTCCCGATGTTCCGCCTTCTTGTCCCCGTGCTCTCCTTCACCCTCGCATAAAGCAACTTCATTGAAGCAGATTTGACTCTCACGGAATAGCTGGATCTGGAAATTAGGAACCAGCCGACATGGCTCGTTGCGTAAGAGCGGCGACCGCAACAAAAGCGACAAGTGCCCCTAAGATCTTAACGAGATCCCCTACATTCGATGGATGAACGACTAGATCGCGAAAGGCCGACATCCCATGGGATTTAACCCGTCAGAGGCGCCACCACCTGAGGGTGTTTTAGCACAGGCGCCATGTGCCAGGCCCTCACGAGTGCGACGTGAGCCTACCAGGGACGCAACTTCGCAGATAGAAGACGGAGAAGTTGATGACGACGAGACTGACTCGGACTACCGCAGATATGCTATTGGCACGGACGACGACTACGATGAAGAAGGTGAGGACAGCGAGTCGGATGAAGAACAGGGGGACGACGATGACGACGACACCGCCGAGAGAGAGACTCAATCCGTGACACCATTGGCCTGGCGGGCTGCAAGCAAAGAACCAGCGCCGCAAAAAATAAGGGCAAAGCTCTCGAGGGTGAACCATCACGCGGAAAAGTGAAAAAGCGGTCGCATGCCTCGCGAGAGTAGAGTATGCGGCCGGATTGCGAGAACTCCGTCTTCGTCGCCGCCCGCTAGTTCACAAAGGAGGAGTTTCAGCCGCTCAAGGGAAAGCAAGGGGCGCAGTACTGGGCTCGCCTGGTCGAGCACATTAAAAAGGAGAACCCCGACTGGATTTTGGGTTCTCTAATTAGCAGTATAGCTTTTTTAGAAACCCTGATTATCAGCCTAAGGTGTAGAGTTTGTCAAACTTATATGCTATAGTCTGTGTAGGCTGTAGTGGGGTAGACTATATGGGGTACAACATTTCTAGGTTTTCCTACTTGTACCCACCTGCTCGCTAGTTCATTCATTCCTCATTCTTCACATGGTATAGAGCAGGTTCCCTCGTGGGAACGCTTCTCAGGGCCCACCACCTAACTCGATCTTTTTTTTTCCTGCCCGAGGCGTGCCCCGTAGGCCGCCCTCACGTCGCGCCCTCCTAGAGGCCCCTCGCGCCACCCTTAGCGGCCCCGTCGCCGTCCTTAGCGACCCCGTCGCCGCCCCTCTAGGCCCCTCGCGGCCCCTTCACGGCCCCGTCGCCGCCGCTCTAGGCCCCGTCGCCGCCGCTTTAGGCCCCTCGCGGCCCCTTCACGGCCCCGTCGCCGCCCCTATAGGCCCCTCGCGGCCCCTTCACGGCCCCGTCGCCGCCCCTAGCGGCCCCGTCGCCGCCCCTCTAGGCCCCTTGCGGCCCCTCTGCGGCCCCGTCGCCGCCCCTAGCGGCCCCGTCGCCGCCCCTGGAGGCCCCGTCGCCGCCCTTCGCGGCCACCTCGCCGCCCTTAGCGGCCCCGTCGCCGCCCCTAGCGGCCCCATCGCCGCCTCTACCGGCCCCGTCGCCGCCTCTACCGGCCCCGTCGCCGCCTCTACCGGCCCCTTCACCGCTGAGCCGCCCAGCAGCTGAGCCGCCGAGCCGCCCAGCAGCCTAGCCGCCCAACAGCCGAGCCGCCGAGCCGCCCAGCAGCCGAGCCGCCGAGCCGCCGAGCCGCCCAGCAACCGAGCCGCCGAGCCGCCCAGCAGCTGAGCCGCCGAGCCGCCCTGCCGTCGAGCCGCTACTGTTCCTACCGGCGCGCCCCGGCCCTACTTACTCGGACTGGTGAGATCACTCCCTGCTAGGCCACTGCAGTCATGGCTACCCCCAGTGTCCTTACCTTTGATGTTGAGGGTCGTGCTGTTGACTTTGAGGTCTGGGTCGATGACCTCCAGCTGTTCCTACAGTGCGATAGGGCAGACGGACTCTCCCTGTTCGATCTCACCTCTGGTGCCTCTCCTGCCCCGCCTGCTACTGCTGACAGCACTGTTCGCTCACAGTGGGCCACACGCGATGCTGCTGCCCGTCTTGCTGTGCGTCGCCACTTACCGACCACTGAGCGTGCGCACTTTAGCCAGTACAAGAGTGCTCAGACCTTGTACGACGCTGTAGTTGCACGCTACTCCTCCCCTGCCACTGCTGCGCTTAGCCGCCTCATGCTGCCGTACCTGTTCCCTGACCTTGCTGCCTTTCCCACAGTCGCTGACCTCATTACGCACCTTCGCACTAGTGACACTCGCTATCGCGCTGCGCTTCCTGCTGAGTTCTGTGCCAAGAACCCCCCCCCCATGTACATCACCCTCTACTACATAGTCACCCGGCTCCTTGACTCCCTTCGCTTAGTCAGGGACCACTTCCTCTCAGTTTGCCCCACCACACTCACCGTTGACCTCCTCGAGGAGCGCCTCCTAGCAGCAGAGAAGAGCATAGTCGCTGTAGGAGCCTCTCGTGGTGACCCTCGCACCCCCGTCTTTGAGGGGTGTTCCCCCTCCCCCCTCTTGCCCTCTGTTGCTTCTGCTGCTGCGGCCGACCTCGTTGGTTTCGAGTCGGTCGGCGCTGCATCTGCCCCTAGCGGGAGACGCCGCACCGGCAAGGGCAAGGGGGGCAAGGGCGCTGGAGGGGCTGGCGGGGGCGGTGGAGGTGGTGGTGGAGGCAGTGGAGGGGGTGGGGGTGGTGGTGGGAGTGGTGGCGGGGGTGGAGGTGTCGGTGGCAGCAGTGGAGGCGGAGGAGGTGGCGGCGGTGGCGGAGGGAGCGGAGGCGGCGGAGGTGGCGGAGGCGGCGGAGGTGGCGGAGGCGGCGGAGGCAGCGGTGGAGCTGGTCGCGGCTCTGCGCAGAGGAGTGGCTCCGGTGGTGGTCCACGCCAGCAGCAGCAGCGCAGTCGTGAGACCCCGTCCCCCCAGCAGCTTCGTGAGTGGTACGCTGGGCGTCAGCGAGGTGGGGGTACTGGTCCCTGCACCTACGTCCTCCGTACCGGCGACCGCGCTGGTGAGCAGTGCGGGGGCCCGCACTCCACCCAGCGCTGCTTCGGCCCCCTGACGGACGCCACTGAGATCCCTCGCTGGGGAGAGCTGTCTAGGGCGGGGGTTGCTATCTTTGACCTTGATTATGATGCTATTCTTGCTGCCATGTATGCTGTGTCTACTAGTGATGAGGGTGACTGTTACCTGTGTGTTCCGCCTGACCCGGGCATTGAGGCTGCTGCTCTCGGTGCTGGTGAGGCTGCTGCTCTAGGTGCTAGTGCATCTGCTGCCCCAGGTGCTGGTGAGTCTGCTCTCTCAGGTACCACGTCGGCTCAGGCCTTACACACCTTCACCCTTGACTCGGGTGCTTCCCGCTCCTTCTTTCGAGACCGCACCACGCTTACGCCGCTTAGTCGGCCGGTTGCGGTCTC